TACCCGAAGAATTGAAGGGATTTGGAGTTCCGAGCGGGCTTAGTCTTACCAGCGGGGCCATGGATTCGCGAGAGGGATCAGCGTCAGAAGGAGAGCGATGAAACGCCGATACCAGGGGCAGGCAGGTGTGTATATATGCCTCGTCACCTCTGCCCTCCTGAAGGCAAGCTGGCAGGTACATTCGATCGGCTGGGCGACTTTACTATACCCCGCCATAGGGCAATCCGCCGTGGCGCTCCCAAGCAAGACACCTCACCAGGCAGAAAGCCTTATCGAGGATCATGGGGAGGAGGACGAGGCGGAGGGGGAGGCGATGGAGGTGGACGCCGGCGGCGAGAGGCTGCCGCGGGAGAGGGGAGAGGCAGGGGCGGCGGGCGGGGAGGCGGAGGAGGAGGCGATGGAGGCGGAGGCGGAGGCGGAGGAGGAGGCGGAGGAGGAGGCGAAGGAGGAGGCGGAGGCGGAGGCGGAGGCGGAGGCGGAGGAGGAGGCGGAGGAGGAGGCGGAGGCGGAGGCGGAGGAGGAGGCGGAGGAGGAGGCGGAGGCCGCGGAGGAGGAGGGTGCGGCTCAGGAGACCTGCCGGGGTTTTACCCGAGATCACCCGAGATTGTAGGCCGCCGAGGAGGGTGAGGGTGGTGCGGCTCGGGGCGGAGATGCGGCCGACGGCTCTGGCGCCGAGGGCGCGAGCGGGGAAGCGGCGGCGAGGAGGCAGGCTGGGGCGGTGCGGGAGGAGGAGGAGGGGCAGACAGGCGACGCCGCGTCGCACTTGAGGCTAGCGCGATGAGTTGCTCTGCTCCACACCCTGACTGCTGGCGCGTGCACCTACATTAGGGTCGACCCCCGGATCGATCGCGGCGCTGTTTGGGGTGTCGCCTGGCGAGACCGGCCACCGCCTCGCCCGATGTCCGCCGATCTCCCGATCTCCGCCGATCTCTTGCGAGGGCGGCGGCGAGGGCGGCGGCGAGGGCGGCGGCGAGGGCGGAGGGGAGGGCGGCGGCGAGGGCGGCGGGGAGGGCGGCGGCGAGGGCGGCGAGGGCGGCGAGGGCGGGGCGGCGCGCGGGGTGGTGACAAGGTGATCGGCGGCTCATCGGAGACACTTCCGAGACCCTTCCGAGGCACCTCCGAGACACCTCCGAGACACCTCCGAGACACCTCCGCGACACCTCCGAGACACCTCCGCGACACCTCCGAGACACCTCCGAGACACCTCCGC